CCCCAAAACCCCAAAACCCCAAAACCCCTTTATTCCGGATTAGAATTGAACTGATTAAATTCTCTCGGCTATCTCAACTGTTTTACAACCTTCTTTCAAGTAGCCTTAGCACTAGGTTTAGCAGATGGTTTAGAGCTGCTTACATGCTTCGATCCTCTTGGTATTGGGTATTTAGGAGTAATAATTGTTTCAACCCCTTCTGCAGTATATTGATCTTGTAGATAGTCTATGGCTTCTGAGTACCATTTAGAAGTTTCTTCAAATAGTTGGCTGATTTCTCAAGCCTCATTTAAAGCTTGATATCGACTTAAAATGTCACACTGTACAACGAAATATAATTTATTTTAAGCAAATTGGGCATAGGTAGCATGGTTTGAGGAGAGCCTCCTCTGAGGACATGGAGCCATTCATGATACATCTATAGTATGTTCAATGTTTTAGACCAAACATATGGCCTATCTCATGGCACATCACTTTGATCCCTCTGAATTGAACAGTATCTTCGACCTCTTCTGATGTCATTCCATGATCATCATTGAAAAAGCTTGGATCGTATCGTGCAAAACTAAAGACTCCTATCCGAGCTCTGAGACTGGCATATCCAAACACAAAGTTCCAGTCCTCTCTGCTGTATATATCCTTATTAAGGACTCAGATCATTGCATAAGCATCTTTCGGTATCTTCCTCTTTGCTTTAGTCAAAATTTGTTTTGCTGAATATTGTATTGAATCTGACTTCCCCCTCGATTTCACATTAAGCTCCTTGACATCGATATTATCTAAGATCTTGACTGGGAGGCCAAAGTAGAAGGCTTCGCAATACTTCCTACAATTCTCAAGGAAGCCCATAGAGATGCTCTCATCAAGGCCAAGGATGTATATAGTCTTCCTTGTCTCAAACAATTTATTAGGATTCGATTTCAAATAAGCAGGGTAACTTTGAGGTTTATTTTCCATGCAGGGGATCCATTCTCCTGAATTCAAAATTCTCATCCTATCAAACCTGCCTTCAATGAATTCCTGAGAGAACACAGCCTTAGCTCTGGGGTCTGCTAAATCCTTATTCCCATCCAGGTCATCTGTGGTTTTCTTCATACTAGGCAGGAGCTGTCTTTCCTGCGTTGTGAGGTCTTGTGAGTATGATTCCATTAATAATTATCAACTTTGGGCAGAATATAAGGGGTTTTGGGGTTTTGGGGTTTTGGGGTTTTGGGGTTTTGGGG